CAAAGAATTTGGAAACTTCTGTGATTGAGATCATAAAGAAGACAGTTGAGCACTCTTTCTTCTCATCTTGACAGGAAACAGCTCATTCTAATGAATGTGCAGGGGCATCATGTGAACCAGCACTGTGTGGCATGCCTCAAAGATGGCTACTTGGCTCAATTCTTTTTGCAATACATACACATGCTCTTCCTGCCAGGCAAAAAGCAACTTAAGCTGGTAATATTTGTGGATAACACAAAAGCATGTTTCAGAATCAAGTATGAGACATAATCAAATCATACAAAGCCTGTGGCACCACTAGCACCTGCCACCACTTCAACACCAAACAACCCGCCACCACTGTCATCCCACCAAGAACTGACTGGCCATCTGTTTTCTCATGGAAAAATGACCATGACTCAGCAGAAGCAAACTTTTGGAAAGTATTGCTTGATAATAATATCTTATTGTTTCTGTTTATTTGTTTTGGTTGGGTCAGTGATTACAAAAGAGTTCTGATGCTTAAATTGTTTCAACACTACCTCACTTGTCATGTCCTCAGCATGGCAAAACAAAGCTATCAAGCCACATATATTAAGCATGAAAACCACCATAGTTACATGGTTTGTTTATTTATTGTACCATAAACCACCTTAAAGCTTACCAGGATGGGCTGGGGAATTCAATACTTATGCACCATAACCATGCATGCATTACACAAACACCATATTAAACATAAACCCTCATACAGCACATCAGGTTCCATGCCATTTAGAGTCCAAAGTAATTGGGCAACACCAGTTTAGGAATTAGAACTGCATAAATTGCACTGATGAATTGACATGTAGGATACTTATGCCTCCCTTAGCCCTAAATGAATGCTATTCTTCACATGACATAGCAGAACTTGAGTTGTGCAGATCATCATCAAATCAAAATACGAGGGCAGATTTGCAGCACAATACACATCAAGATGCTTCTGCATTTGAAAAAAAGAGATAGCCACCTTGTAATGCTTTGCAACCGCCCTTACTGTCATTTTCATGAAGCTCACTTACTCCAGTCATCCATGTACCAACAGCAAGGGCACAGTTTCTCAAAAGGATCAGGGGGCTGACTCCTGACAAATTGTGAAACCTACCCCGAAAATTCGCCGATACGCAGGCGTCTCCCCGGGTTGCGTCCACCTAAAAAACAGCATGCTAAAATACACATAGCAAACGGAGGGAATCACGTGTCCAACGCTTTCTGGCGGGCTCTCCGCACCACCTCTTCGTATTACATTTTGACTCACCGCTGGATCCTTATTGCGTTGCAAGAAGGTGTGTGTCTGCCAATCAGTCAACCCCTACAATGCCTTCTGCCCCCCGTACTCATCATTCAAGACTCATGCCAATTCCGTGCGCTGCTTCCGTCGGTGTTTCCCTTTGCCTCAAGGTCCTATATACAGGAGTTGTGGTCATTCCTGCATGTCACCAATTTAATGACGTCATTGTTTTCAAGTGACGGGATAATCGCAATACTTACGCCAGCCTAAGGAAGAAAGCGTCTGACATCTAAAGGTATTAAAGCCAGCATCGAATTTGATGAAACAAGCGCAACCCTTAACTTTTGGTATACTTTTAAGGTGAAAAAGACAGCTGTGGACAGAAAAATTCTCGGTTTAGTAAATATGCTTCTCAATGCGTCATGGTTTGAATACGTCATCGTGCCTTGCATAACATTGATTGAGAGCCAATGGACCTCGTTTTATTTAGAAATCACGCTCACGAACGCCAGTTGTGAACGCCTCCACGACTTTATTTTTCTTCGCCTTGATCGTCCACATGGCTTGTGGAATTACAGGACTTGAATGCAGGGGCGGGATATCCGAATGGGCGCGTTCGGCCAAGCGAAAATTATTCAACGAATAAATATCTCTCCGATAATCATCCGCCGAGATTCTCCATTTTTACTGGGCCGGTCCGGAAATGATACCCCACATAAGTCTCCATGCGCCACCTACAGCCAACGGTCATAGCTATGCATATCGAAAACAGCTTCTCCGTCTGGACCATGCTTTGAAAATTCCCCGCGATTCTCTCCCGCTACGGAAAATTATCCGGGATAATTTTCCATGACGGCAGTGCCGAACGCCATCCCGGAAAATTGTCCAACATTCTGGATAATTATCCGAGATTATCTGCCGGCCGAACGCCATTGAGATGTCGGCACGGGTGTCGATTTGCTTTTTCGTGAGTACCCTGCCTCCCCCCCCCCCCCCCCCCAATATTGAGTTGGGCCCCCAATGTTGGCTGGGCCCCCTAATGTTTTTGGCCGGAATACTAAAGAGAAACGAAGGTAAAAGTAAAAGTGAAAAACCCTAGAATATGGGGGTGACCTAAGTCCTTCATTGTCAACCCCATCCTCGTCTCCACAACCAAAATGCGTGCCTTCCTCCCATGACCGTCACAGAAGAACGTCATCGGCACCCTAAGGCGACTTCTTAAGGGGTGCCTTCATGTGCCGATCAGAAGAGATACGTGCGTCCAGTGTCTGCCCCCTGGATCCAATCCCTGCATGCCTTCTATATGTACTGCTTAAGTTAAAGACCTATAAACTATACAAATATTAAAAGCGTATATTGCGTTCGATCAAAATGAAGTGGGCTAAATCAGGTTGATAAAATGGGGGAGAGGTTGTGGGGCCTTTGGTTCGGCCACCGAATAATTGACACCCCCGGATGGAGGGAGGGGGGGGGGGGGGCAAAGACTACGAAGGACCCCCAAACCGACGAACCCGTATGTTTAGGTACAGGCGCGAAGCCAGAGCATTGGCAATGGAGAGGCACACAGGTTTGACAAAGCCCCCCCCCCCCCCCCGATAACAAAAGCCTCTTTCAAACGAAAATTAATCGAATATGGCCCATGTGAGGGTATGTTTTTATATTTTGCATTTTAACCTTCCAAGACTGGAACTTGAAGACGGAAGCTACCGCGAAATCAATTTTGTCCTATTTTTTTTTAGTCAATTAACTAGAGAAATCATGCGTTAAACAACAGCATGAAATGAACCACCGGGCTCTTCGTTATAGAACGGTCCCAATGAACTTTTTCTGAAGCACTAAAACTTACAAGCTTTGTCGGAACCTTAAATTCCATTAACATGGCCAGGCAATGTTTGTCTGGAAATGATTCAACTTTCAGTCGGATTAGTGATTTAAATTAGGTAGCGTTGTTTTGAGCATGCGCGCTCGCACATCTTCGCAAAAAATCTCGACGCAAGGCGTTGTTGCCTCCGTAAACCGCGCAGCGTCAGCCCTGCGGCTAACACTAAGCCGTGGCCTACGGGTAGACGAAAATGACACATTCAATAAAGTACCTTAAAACGCTTTAAAACTTTGGACCGTACATTTAGAAGACAGTCGGGCGTATCTTTCACCTGCGCGAATTTTTGATTGATGAAATGAACGGCTTTACAGCACCACTAAGTGGTGCTGGAATCTGGGGGCAGAACTGAAGGAGTAAGGGTAGAACCTTCATTTTTATGTTGTTATAGCTGTTAAACTGTCCAGAGGACAGCCCCAAAGTGATAAAAAAGATGCTTCCGGCCTGACCTTTGAATGACACGAAATAGTTTCCTAAGGCATTTAAAAGCATCATTCCACGACGTTTGCTCTCGCGCGCACGGCACCCGCCCCCTAGTGTTACCACAAGCTACCATTGCCAGTTTACGATCACTGTGAATACTTGACTTTAACCATGTTACCATTAGTGGCCAACGCCGCTCGGTTTTGCGGAAACTGCAACTCAGGTTTACCGCCGTCCTGCTTCCGAGACTGCGCATGCGCAGGCTCAAGCCTTTTGATGATTTATTTCACTAGTCGATTATGCAAAAGAATAAATGTTCTCAAGGCACACATGGGATGGCCTCGTTTGTTTTCGAACTCATTTCGACGCGCTCTTTTCAACACTAATGCGACCCCTTATTCCTTTCCGGCTAGGGCAGGAACGAGAGGTGCACGATCGACCCACGAGACAGGACGGTGATATATTACCTTGTACCTCATTCGCGTGCTGATATGGGAAAACGACGCTCTTCTATTCGCGCAGCCAATATGTTTGACGCACTCCCGGACCATCCTCGAGGTTTCCCGGCTATCTCTTTCCCAAAGCACTCGCAGAGACATCTCACGGGACACTTACGGATGTCACGATCTGTTTATGCGGCAGAAGTCGTGACTTGTGTGCATTTTCGTGTGCTTCAGTGCGTTTGCGTTAGATGCCTGTCTTTGCCCTTATGACCTACACGATACGCATCTTATCTGCTGTTGATGGGTATTAATAGCCCGGAGTTCATTCGGGATTGTCCAAATGGGATTCCCGGGATACGGTAATCCCGAGATTCGGCGTTACCAAACGCACACCAATCAATCTATCAACGGAAGGAACTAGGGAAGCAGCTACACGAGGAACTAGGGGAGCAGCTACACGAGGAACTAGGGAAGCAGCTACACAAGGAATCAGGGGAGCGGCTACACCGAGGAACTGTCACGTCAGCTGCGACCAGGTCCAGATGCCGACCGGGAAACTCTCCGGCTTCCCGGAAGCCGCCCTCAGTACAGCAGGGCTATATGAGCATCGGGAACACTCGTGGATCGAGATCAGTGGTGTGCAGGGGCGGGTAGGTCACAGGTATGGCACGGGTATGATGGTATGACACACATATGATGTGCGGAGGCCGAGACAGGCGTTAGCACTGTGGGAGGATCGGGGAGGAATGCTTAAAAGTCGGGAAGAATGCTGAAACCCTGTCAGGAATTTCAATGTAATCAATCTCAATCATCTGAGACTGGATTTTCTAGGATCGAATAAGCGGAAGTCTCAGCTTACCTCGTAATAAAACAAATAAGAGCAGTCAGCATGGGAGTCCGAACAGAGGTTCCGACGGCAGGTTGCGTTCGCCGGGAGACCGATCACACGTCACGGTGTCAATGTCACGACCGATATTAGAGTTCGAAATAGTGCTTCACACGCAACAGCCTCGAAAACCGTGCGTTATATTAGGAGATAACATCGAGTCGATCAGATCACCCGGGCGTTAACATTCCGTCGCTTTGTAGTTTACTTTTTCTTCCCGCTATCATTTCCTAGCCCTCACAACAACTCACTCTACATGCACAGATTCGTTCGCGCTCTTTACAAGCATCAAGCGCATAATCGTCGCGTTCTCGCAACAAACGGGTGGTGCAAACGAACCCATCGACATGATCATGGGCTCCATGGCAAAACTTCACAACGCACGCCACCCACGTGCAAGACAGTGCGCAACATCCCCACAGCGTGACAGCATCCTACATACGTGGCAGTCCTATCGAAACGCTGGTAGACATTCGCTGCGCGCGTTCGAAGTATCGCACCGGAAAGCTCCTAAACTGACACCGAGCACCCGACAGCAAGAGCCGCGCTCGCGCTTGTGCTCGCGCTCGTGGTGCAGAACCCGCTGCGATTGGCCAGGGGCCAGACCCGCAGACCAGGTTTGCTGAACGACGCCGGGTTAAACCATTGCGAAAGTGCACTTGTTACGCTGACGCACGCCAACCGCCTGCGCTGAACGTCATGTGTTGTCGGGCCACGCGGCCGCATCGGCTGCAGCGTCAGGCCTGCGATGGTCGTCATGCCTTTATTGCTCAGACGCTGTCAGAAACACGAGCCCGTTCTCGGTATCGACGTTCTCGAGCTCGCTGCCGTAGATTTCACTCCGCGGGCGTCACACCGACAGGGCACGAAGGGGCTGAGTGAGTCGTTCCGATTTCCAAGGTCATGCCGCAGGACACGGGCCCCCATTCGTGCCCTGACTGGTCCAGACGAGCCGGAACGCGTCCGCTACACCCCAGAGCTGGCTACGGCGCCTGAGCACTTCCCCACGTCGCCCCAGCACGTGTCCACCGCGGCACCGGACGCGTCCACCGCAGCGCCGAGAGCGTCCACCGCACCCCAGCGCCCAGACCGGCCGCCGCTGCCTAAGCGCGTCCCGGCGCTCTCCGGCAGCCCACAGCTGCGCCCACAGCTGCTCCAGCGCCGCCGCCCCTACGACAAGCGGTAGCTGTAGTCCTCATCGTCATCCTGTAGCGGCGGCGCGGGCGTGGTGGACGGCGGCTGGCGCAGGTCGTCGGCCGACACGTGGCGCCAGTACACGTAGCCGATGCGCCAGCTCGTGCTCTGGCGCCAGTCGAGCTGCTGGTTGGTGCGCGCCTCGTACGGCACGTAGCCGCGGTGCGCCAGGAAGATGGTCATGCGCTCGATGCTCCTGCGGCGCAAGCAGCGCGCGGTCGGCGGGGTGAGTCGAGGGCAGACAGAGCAGAGCGTGCGATGGACAAACACTTGCTGGTTTGGGTGATTTAACCGGGGGTAGTATGACATGGTGACGACAACGTTCCACTACATTTACTGGCTTATTTTCTCTGAATGCACCTGGACGTTTCTGGCCCCAGGGCTGGCTACCCGTGCTGCGGATTTTAAAATCACCCCGTGGCATGGTCAAGGGGGCCTTTGGGGACGTGTTGCCCCGCCTGGAGATGGCAGGGACACCTTCTGAGGGAATACTCCTCCGCCTAGGATGGTAAAGACACTGTATGGCTTAAAACGCGAGGGCCTCTTGATAGTTTAAGATTTATAAAGGGGTGCTAAAAAACCGAACAACGGAGCCCCCCGAGCAAATAATAGGACCCCGAGCCCAAGACAGCTCCCTGCATCCAACAATAGATCTATAAGAGACGACAAGATGTCCTTTGGCTGGAGGGACTACTGGACGAAAACCTGCTACGCCATTGGTGCCGTAACTTCCCTGACTCCCCTCCGACGGCTCGACTCTGGCTCCCCACCGACTCTGCTCGGCCCTGACTCCTCGCAGACCCTGCCGGCCCGCTGCCGTCTGATCCCCCCCCCCCCCCGCTGGTCCCTCACGTCCCGCCAACTCACTCTGGCGTGCAGGCCGTGTTCGGCCGCCGTTGGTGCAGGAACATGAGCGACCAGTCCATGAAAATGTAGGGGATGTGCACGCCGCTGAACAGCTGCGTGGCCGACGAGATGGCGCGACACTCACACCCCTCTGAAACGGCGGCGGCACCCGGTCATCGGTCACGCACGCCCCTCTGAAACGACGACACACGGTCACCGGTCACCTGTGACACCCTGCTGAAACGGCGGCAGCACCCGGTCACCGGTCACACCTCTCTGAAACGGCGAAACCCAGTCACCGGTCACCGGTCACATTCCTCTGCAACGGCGGCATCCGGTCACGAGTCAGCTCACTGCTCGACCACTGCCCGGCTGACCGCCCTACTGACATCAAGCTGGGCAAAATCTCGAAATCTCAAAATCAAACTACTTTTTTGTGCACAGAATCTCAAAACAGAACCGCGCATCACAGCAGTTCCACATGATCAGAGTCCAGTCAGTCCACACAGCGTGCCCTTCCCAAGAGACAGCGGGTGCTGGAGGTCGACCTTCACGTACCAACGTCCATCTTGATGAGCACAATCCTCCGCTGAATGAATGGGTACAGGTCGTCCGTCAGAATTGTCTTCACAGCCTCACGCGCGTTCGTGTCGTACGAAGTGTCCGCTATCACGATGCTAGTGCCCCCTATATTGCCATGGGGCTGGCGCAGCCACGCGTAAGTTCTCGAGTTGTAGATGGCGTTGTGAATTAGCGTGATGTTTTTGCGCACGCCAGATAGCAGCGCCGCGTGGTGGATGCGTCGCAAACTTGAGGTGACCGGCTCCACCGCCAGGACGCGGTGACCCTGCTTAGCCGCGAGAAGCGTGTGGAAGCCGATGTGTGCTCCCAGGTCGATGACGTCAGAGTTCGGATAGTTCCGCAGAGCTTTCTGCAACAGAAATCTCGCGTTAGCAATCCAAACTCCGTGGGAAAGCACTCAGTATATTGTTTTCTGTGGTTGGCACGGATTTATCGCGCGCTCCGAGCACGGGAGAGCCAGCCTCGTTTTTCTCCGCTTACTATTTTATCCAAAAGCACACATGGCGGTCTATCCGTCCCGTTCATTTATTACCGCTTGCTCCGAAGTTCTTGCAATGCCCCGTAACCCCAGGGACCCACTGCCACCGTCAGCGCCAACTCTGTGTTAAGGCCTCTCTGATGGAAGCGTCGTCCGAACACCGAGACAAGCCCTCGAGTCGAGACCCCCGCCGGACAACACTCAGCAACCGTGACAACCAACAACGGCCATAGCGCCGAACAGCTCTCACCTCTAACGCTACGCTACGTTGCGTTACGTTACGTTACGTTATGGGCTAATTGCACAGCCCTTGAAGATTCAACCGTGCTTGATTTGAACCAAAATGCATGTTATTAGCTCTTCCAGTACGAGGTAGCCTCAGTGGTTTTCGAGTAAGCAGCGGCCCCAGTGGCGATCATTCGAGGAACGGCAGCGCCAGTGGTGATCACTCCAGTGAACGGCAGCCCCAGTCGTGATCACTCCAGTGAACGGCAGCCCCAGTCGTGATCACTCCAGTGAATGGCAGTCCCAATGATGATCATTCCAATGAGCAGTGGCCCAGGCGGTCTCTCCAGTGAGAAGGAGCGTCGGTGGCTCCTCACTGAGCACTCACAGCCCCCCCCCCCCCCGCTCCGCTCCTTCACTAAGCAGCAGTCTCAACAGTGTCAGAAGTCCCTCGTCAGTCCAGCCCTGCTCCATCGCCTTAGCATCTGAGATTGTCTGCACCAACTTCCGTCCAACTGCACGAATCAATGGGATACAACATATCAAAAGGATCCTCACGTATCCATATATGCAGTATTGCTGCTGTTCATTAGAGTTTGGGGCGCAGCGAAAATGTCAATGTTCTACGCGTGTAGAACATAAACATGTGGCACGCATCCAAGAGAAGTTAGGCGAAGTCGGGAGGCAATAAACGTGTTGTTTTGGAGGGCGGAAACGGAGTGAAACGATCCAACGAGAGAACGAGACTTCCGGCTGCTCCTATCAGCAACAATTAATTCAACGGGGCGATGAGAATTGAACGCAAGGTCCGCGAAAGGAATAACCAAGAGAAGAGGCCGGGGCCTATCTAATTCAGCGGATACTTATGATTCATTAGTCTGTACCCGAAAACGACAATTCTGTCAAAACAATGTTGTCAAAAGCGCAGGCCATGTCAAATGAGCTCAGCATATGATGCATATGGTACAAGCATGGGCTACATCCCGACGAGCTGCATGGCTTCTCCACGTCTTTTCCGTCACGAGCGATTCCTTCTTCCCAACTGAGAGAACGCCATCCTTTGTGACGGTTGGCGTCGAGTCAACACGAGCACGGCCGATCGCAACAAACCAGTGAATGGCTGTCACTGCTCGCCCATCCAGTGCCGGCTCAGCTCCCGCCGCCGCGAGATCGGCGCCCGGCTGAGCTTGCAGGGACGATGACAGCCGCCTGCTCTGGCGCTGCGACCGCTGGCAGCGCGCCAGCCGGTGCTGGGTGTTCAGCGGGGAGAGCCGGCGGGTTTTAACAATGGCAAACGTAGGCGAACTACCGGGGAAGGCCGTGTTCAGAGGATGTGGGTAGCGCAGGGGGGGGGGGGAGGGGGAGAAGGGAGGCGTCCGTTACGCCCACTGAGCCGGAGTCTCCCCTCTGCGATAACCTACGTCCAATTCGGCCGGGAGCACGGCAATGCCGTCCCGTAGACATCAAAGACCAGGCTGTTGAGACATATTGAGACATGCTGAGATATGTCAATATCTGCAAACAGCTTCATCTCGCCAATCATCCCAATCAGCAAGACAGCATTCAAGCCTGGGTCAGAGCTGTTCCTTACGTCGACGCGCCCAACTACCCTATTTCACCATAAACATCACAGATGGCAGAATACTTTCTTGAGAGGGTTTTCATGTCACTAAAGTGGCGTTTGTTGGACATTCACTGATACGTGGCCCCGCCATGTCCCACCATTCAAACACTAGCTAAACGATGGGGATCACGAACATACTGTATCAACTGGAACACGGTGAGAAACCGGGACCACCAGAAGCCGTGTGTGAGCAGCCGACCCTCTCACCTGGAACACGGTGAGAAGCCGAGGCTGCCATACGCCGTGTGTGAGCAGCTGACCCTCTCACCTGGAACACGGTGAGAAGCCGAGGCTGCCAGACGCCGTGTGTGAGCAGCTGACCCTCTCACCTGGAACACGGTGAGAAGCCGAGGCTGCCAAACGCCGTGTGTGAGCAGCTGACCCTCTCACCTGGAACGGGGTGAGAAGCCGAGGCTGCCAGACGCCGTGTGTGAGCGGCTTACCCTCTCACCTGGAACACGGTGAGAAGCCGAGGCTGCCAGACGCCGTGTGTGAGCAGCTAGCCCTCTCACCTGGAACACGGTGAGAAGCCGAGGCTGCCAGACGCCGTGTGTGAGCAGCTGAGCGGACACGTAACGGTCCTCAGTAGCGCTGTACACACAGACGTCCACCTCCGGCACCGTCACCGTCTGCGGAGCGCGCGTACAGGTCAGGAGGTCACTGCCTGAGGCCAACGCCGCCAGTCAGGGCAGTTCTCGCCGCAGATGCATGCAGGCACTGAGGCGCTAATGCAGGTACAGACTCGGTAGGAAGTGCTGGGTGAGAGCGGGCGGCAGAGAAGCGATAATGCACCGGAGGCTTGCTGAACGAGGCTTTCGTATCAACCCATGGATGGTCGACACGGAAGCCGGCGCTCCCGGACTCGGGCGGACTGCCCTCGCGGACTAAAGGACGCTGTTGGACGGTTACGGTGATCACATATTTGTGTTTAACACGCGTTCTGGCGGGGGAGTCAAATTGACCCCCCGAAGGTTTTCCGGAACGGTTTCCGAACGGCGCGACGCAGCCGTGCCAAATTTTGCAAAGCTGTAGACAATTAAATAGCGGATTGTTCGGCGTCAAAAATTTAAATGTACCTTGCAAGGTCGCTGACCCATGGCAGGTAAACGTCAGGCCATGGTTTCAGAGAAGTCAATTTCTACGGAATCGTTCAGTCTGATGGAACAACGGAGTGTTAAACGAAGCTATACATCTCTGAGATGCTTTGTTAGGCAACACAACAGTTGAATGAGCAAGTTGCATTGACCTAAAGTCAGGTATGAAGGTCAGACCAAGGTCAAAACGAACATGTTTTATCACTCTAGAGCTTGCTGTATGGTGTAGTTTCTGATGCTCATTTCGAATTTATTGATAATGTACATGCAGGAACTGCATTATACCGTCTTCCATAGACTTCTCAGAGGTCAAAATAGGTTATTGACCTAACATGACCCGGGTCAACGTTTTGTTTTTCGGAACATACTGCGCAGCGTAATCTTTGTCGCTTATTTAAATGCAAAACTCAGAGCAGCTTGTATGGCTTGGTCTTCATGACCTTAAAAAGGTCAAACAAGGCCACTGAACTTAACTGAGCACGTGGACTTCTGCTTAGAAACGGTTATTTAGGTTTTGAGGACACTTTGGAGACCAACCTGAAATTTGACCCTGTTTGACCTAATTTGACCCAAAGGTCACGACCTACGAACCTGAAACTTTGACCTAAGTGAGTTCACGTACAGTTCAACATACCCTGTAAGTGTGCTTTCTCTAGCTGTAATAGTTACCGAGATCTCAGGGGGGGGGGGCAAATTGACCCCCCCACCCGAGCGAAGGGTATCCAGCCGGCCACCCGGGCGCGTGTTAAGGATTTGGGCAGTTTCTGAGCTGAGAATTATCATTGACACCGTTCCATGACGTCGCGGAGAAAATCCAGCAACATTTGATTGCGAACGTGAAATGGGCAAAGCGGCGACCAACGTTGTTCACACATGCCGTTTATGTGAGATTGTCCGATGACAAACACGGAGAATGGAGGTGCTCTTTCTTCCCAGTTTTCTACAATCCTTACTCATCCGTACACAACCCATCCGGTTGTTTATGATGCTGATCTATAGCTGTACTCTGTTGGCTGTCTGTGGCTGCCTATGACTCCACCCCGTATAAAGTGCATCATCCCGTTATCGGCAGCTTCAGTACAGACCTCTTCCCAGGCACTGTATCAATACATTACACTGCCTACTGCGCCGCCTGGGGCGCAGCTGCACAACTGTACGGCGTCGGCCGTCACCCGTCACCTGCCACCCGTCACCTGTCACCCGTCACCTGTCACCCGTCACCTGTCACCCGTCACCTGTCACCTGTCACCCCGTTCATCTCTGCGCGAACTCCGCTGTGGACCTCTCTGACGTTCCCGCACCGCCTCCCGTCCCGCCTGTGACCCCGTGACCCTGCGATCGCGTAACTTCATTCACCCATGACCTTGTGATCCCGTGGCTGTAGCCGAGTGGCTGTGGCTGTGGTCTTACTGTAACAGTAACTGTAACAGTAACTGTAACTGTGGCTGTGGTCTCATTCCCCCGGCGACCTCTCGATCCCGCGTCTGTGTGACCCAGTGACCCAATGACCCCGCGTCCTCACGCTCCCCGTGACCTTGTGAGCCAGTGACCGGGCACCGGTACCTGTATACAGCGGAGCTCCCGATCCGAGGCGTTGCCGGCGCCGGGGCGGTACAGCGAGACGTGGCCGGAGCCGTCGCCCCCGGAGCCATGACTGGCCGCCGACACGACGCCGTATATAACGGCCGCGATTAGCGCCAGCAGCGCGATGAGACCTGCGAAGAGAGGGGGTCGAGTCTTACCATCACGGTATCCTGGCGGGATGACGGCTGCAGGTTCCAGGTACTCCAGAACTTGTCATTTCGGGCTTACACTCCCCGGAATTTGAGTGCAGACAGCATACGCCTTGTGGTTCGACATTCGGGTGCCTGCTATGGACGGAAGATGTGGAATACTGAGCCCAATGTTTCACGTCAGACCAATTTGCGAAGACATTATGTTTGCTGTGAGTTTATTTGGTGCATATCAGCATGGTGCCGAAGGCAGTCACTCATTTCTGAAGCGAACGTTCGACATTTTTAATGCGTCTTCCATAGAAGCAACGCATATATTTTAGTTTTTTTTGTAGATTTCCCCAAAAAGGTGCCAAAACGGGGCCAATATCTCGGCAGTCAGGTGTGCAGCAACGCGGAGACAACACAATGTCAGTTGACACAGATCACACAGCTGTATGTTTTCCGAAATCCGTGTTTGGGTGGTAGATCGTCCCGACTTAAGTGCCAACCAGGCATTTGCGTATTTCAAGCCATGCTAAAAAAATCGTCAGATCTTGTGAGCCAAATCGGACGCGACTTCAAATCAGTTGTTGGGTTGCCGTACCTTGGAGTACATTTACGAATCATGGAGGGTTTTTAACCGCTGTTCCACCAGTGGTCCCGTCAGGTATCGAGCACAGACATGTCCAAAAATGCGGGTCTCAAACGCCCAAATCTGTGGCGAAAACCGAGTAGCGTTGGGCGACGAAACGCCTTTGATCGTACATCCGCAACGCTGCTCATCCAATCGCCGTGAAGTTCGCGTTTGTTGTGGATAGTTGCCTGGCACACGTGTGTGTGCCCAGCGATTTTGATGCGTTGAACATGTGTAAGCGAACTTTATATCTATCCCAGTTATGTGCACAAGGCAAGCCATACAGATGGGTCGCGGTATGGCAGGGTCAGCAGAAATGTCAGCGTCCCTGACTGAATATTTTGCATAAACATACGTATTTTTTGGCAGAATAAGGCGCGGAGTTGGGCGTTTTTAATGCGTTTTTAAAGGAGCAGAATCTGCAAAGGTAAAACAGGGATTTATCCTACACATTCCTTATGCACCCCTCAGCAGCTTCCAAACAGCTTGAGCCGAACTGAATAGGATGAGAGTCAAGCCGATTTAAGGGAAGCCACGAATTAAACGAAAACGACGAATTGGAATATATAAACGGACGGAACTGAGCTATTGGGGTCGGAAAACTCTGCACCGCTGCCACCACCGACCAAAAAGCATCGCTACGCACGAAACTGTAAAAACATTACATGGCCGTGCCACGGAAACTGTCAGGACGAAGATCGCATTGACCACATATCTCCCTAAAAATATCGAAACCAATTTCACACTGTACTTCTGCAGCGCGACCACAAATCATGCAATAAACTCAAGTCCGCCCGACCGATATGGACGTCAATCAATCGACTGAGATTATGACGTGGAAAGCTGTTGAAAAGGGCCCAAGTCGATGTTATGTTCTCCGTACCGATGGTCAAAGGGCGCGAGACGCACTGACGTCTTGACTCGTCGAACTGACTGACTGACGCACTGACTCGTCGAAACGCACTAACCTGCAACCTGCAACCCAAAGAGCGGCGCAATTTCCATTGACACAGCGCCAAATACACCACACCGGCTGGCACGATGTCACACAAAGTGTTCGCGCGTAATTTGCCATATGCATTTCGCCGGTGGAAACAGCATCTTAATGCATATCAGTCAGGGACGGAAGGGCTCTGGAAAAGATGAGCACCAGTTTTGCTCCACTGGGCACGTGGGAGGCTCATTTCCGGTGAATCAGCCAGTGACATGTTTCCGAACTACTCTGAGGCAAACTGAGAGGAGGAAAAAAACAGCCATAGTCGTAAAAAACGGCGAAAGACACACGACGATAAGCTCACTAAGCTCGACGCTAAGCTCAGCGTCAGCGCATGTCTGACCTTAGTCCCTGGTCACAGCGTTTGCTCATGTCTGAGCTTAGAATCTGGATACATTGCGTTAGCTCATGTCTGAGCTTAATCTCCGGGCACACAGCGTTACTCGTGTCTGAGTTTTGTCTCTGGAAACATTTATTAGCTCAATTATTAGCTCAAACAAACATTAGCTCATGTCTGAGCCTAGCCTCTGGACACACAGCGTTGGCTCATGTCTGAGCTTAGTCTCTAGACGCACAGCGTCAGCTCATGTCCGAGCTCAATCTCTAGACACACGGTGTCAGCCTCTGCTGAAACAACTGCAACGACTCATCATCGCAGGAGACAAACGTTTGCACAACATCATGGTATGGATCCAGGAAAGACGAAGACCCTCATCTTCTGCTCTGCCATCAGCTAAGCGGTCAGGGTTTGGCTGATGTGAGTCAGTTATAATTTGCTTTCGCCTACATATTCGACCAAATTATTTGACATCCATGCAGGTGAACGAAAAAAGTGCCGCGGAGAAACAACCTTCTTGGCAGGGCATCTTCGCTGTTTTAGTGAGCGCCCATCTGTCCAAGGAGAATGTGGCGGGAACTACCACGGTTTCGTGCTTGATTCAGCGCTGTGGCGCCATACCATATTTACAGCATGCCATATCTGCCATATGCCATGGTGCAATGCATATTTCACATCTCCAACTAGCGGTCCGGAGGGCTACACGAGTCTGTCTCTGATCCGACGACACCACAACCTTCGTGGTTACCACAGGCTGCTCTGATATATTTTCAGGAGCAGACCACGGGGACGACGTGATCGAGACCAGCGTAAGCGATCACTGCAGCTCACCACGCCTGTGAGGCGTCAGGTAAGGACGCCTCCTTCAGTGTCGTGTTAAACTCCTGTCGAAGTTGTCGCTTTTTGTTCCATTAGCCATTTCTTGCGTTCCAGGATGATTGCGACCAAGTACAAAACAAATTGCATTAAATTGTGTGATGGAATGACACCACATATAGGGTAGGTGCCGTGGTTATTGCGGGGAGAAGGGCCAATCGATTTGCAGAATTTCCTAAGTGTACCGGCCCATGCGATATTTACGTTTGTCTGAGCCAAAAAACGGTCTGCCCGCTTTCATAAATCATTAGAGATCGCTATTTCTGGACCGGCACAAGCTTGGACCATCCATAACAGCGTGTCTCTGAGCCTGCATGATGAACAATGGGTTCTTCTAACTGTCCGTCGAATGTTAAATGATGCAAAGTACCAAATGACGTCACACGAGCGCAGCTTCAGTCCAGTGAAATCCATTCGACGGTGCCTGATCATGGCGTGCCTGAGATTAATGGTACATTTCTGGAGAACTCTGTAACGCACGGCGTCCTATCGCTGGGATCACGGAGGAAACATGAATAGCAAGTCTCAATTCGAGCCTGAATAAGGCAAATTAATTGTTACCACGCCCATTCACCTTCAGAAAGGGCATCACCGTGAACTGACCCAATGTCGACCGATAACGTCGCGGAGAGGAATCTGATCCCGCAGGATGGCTATACGAACAATGACTTGATTGGCACGGTGTTTCGATCGCGGGAGGAGCCGGCCGCCACCAATTTTAAATGTAATTTGGCGGGTCACTCTTCTCTGGGCGGTTTCAATCACACAAAATATGAGTACTTTTTATGGTAATTCGTACATCTAACAGCCTCTAGGAATGTACCAAAAGGCTCTAATGCCGTATTAGTAAGGTGAAATGTCGTTTCGTGCAGAAAAAAGAACACGGATAAAGATGTAATTGCTCACCGTCTGTGGATCATACTGGATCTACTAATTGCGTTAGAGTTGAGTAGTTCAGATGCCTATCCACAGTACGTGTTATGAAAGTGCAAGCATTCAACGTCATAGCGTCCTTGGCAACAGAGCACGTCTTTTACTCAATCAACTGTATGAAAAAAGCATAAAAAATGATTAAGCAGCCATTTATTGCCGACACTGTAGGCGCATATTCAGAAATTATATCGTTACTGGGCACGGAGGAGACTACGGTGTACAAGCCCCAGAGCTCATATAAACCTAAGCAGCAAGCTTATGACCATTCCCAGCAGATGGAATTAGATCGCTCTAAGACCGCAACCCTGGACACGAGCTTCCTGCCGTCACAGCCTCGCGCCAGGCCCGCGAGATAAAAACCTCCCGTCGTCTGAGGTCTGGCGTCATTGCTGAGTCTGAAGTGTTGAGTCTGAGTCGTCTGAGTCGAATCAGGGCGGACCCACTTTTCAAGCGTAGGGCGAGTGTTGACTTCACGGGCCGAGGGGCCGAGATCCGTGCGTGCTGGACAACAAAGCGCTGTGTTTCCGGGACAACAGCGGCTCCGGCCCCACCGCTGTCACTGACGGGGGGGCCCGACCGACCGGCCGCCGGCCTGGCTCAGTTGAGGGGCAGGGACGCTCGGACCAGCTGGCAACGCCGCCGGGCAGCTGCAGCTGGAGCTGATGGTTCAGGCGACGCGCAGCGCCGCTCTCAGTGCTTAATGGATAATCGATGCGGTGCATGCTCATGGGAGGTAAGAAGTTATTGGGTGAACATCGCCGATGATCACTAAATTTGCGACTGGCAAATGACGTTGTCAGAAACACGAAATGTTAAGGAAACACACCCTTCCAGCAAACACGCTACATCAATAGTGCTTTTCTACTGGATGAAGGCGGTTCTTTACACGCTTTTAATGTTTTGTAGATGAGACAGCATCGATAGCCTTATTCCTCGTAGAATAAACAGGAAAATGGAGAGATAGAGTGAGTGATAGAGTGATATATCAGCCGCATGCCTTTATCGAAACGAATTCGTTTCGAATTCCAAAAACGGATTCAAAGCGGGTTTGTCTCGATAAAGACATGCGGCCGAAATATTACACCTATCTCTTCATTCTTCTCTGTATTCTACAACGAATATGGCTGTTAATACTGTCTCATCTATAAGCATAATGTTCCTCACGAATGCACTAAACAGGTTAAGTAACTGTCAACGTTTTCTTGCACACATCTAG